TGGGGTCTTTACTAAACTCAATGCCACCAGGTTCCCTCCAACTTTCTAATCATAATTCGTTTCATAAAAATTACCTAGTCAGAAAACATATTCAAAACCTCTTTCTTACCAACAAGAAAACATCCACAGTCCAAACGAATGGTATGCCTGCAAAAAAAATGAAACTCGATATTTCTCGAGAAGATCCGCTCAGATAGCCAGGGGCTACAGTACTACGCGGCTTACGGTCGGACATCTGTGCTACATATAATACATAGATTACATCTGCAAAGTAAAACAAAAAAGCCATAGTTGAAGTTCATTGAGCTATGCTAATGGAACCAAAGAATAGCTGCGTTTAATATGATCTCTCAACTCTAGTTACTAGAGATATGGCATATCAGTATATCAGCTGTCATTATTCCAATGGGGACCCTAGATAGACAATGTAGAGTTCGTTATCTACCCAGTCTTACAAATGCAGGCTTAAAAACTTTAGCTTCGCTTTATTTTCTATAAATCCAGTTGACTTTGCAGACTGAAATAAGTGAAAGCGAAGATGCCTATCCATACAGGAAAGCAAAATACCCAATAAACCCTTGCATGATTTATGTTTCCTTGTTGACTATGATTTCAAGATTCAATTCCCTCTAGGTGTTCACCAAATGTTGTCATGGTCCCTGAGTACATTCACAAGTTCTTCTTGAATCAAATTTAATCAGGCATAATTTCAAGTGACCAAACCCTCCCTTCGTGAAGAAATCTGAATCCCCGGATGAACTTCTAGTGTACATTCCAACGTGAGGCACTTCCGGGAACAATTCCGTGACATTGAGGTGCTTTTCGTGAGCGGCATTTAAAAAGTTAATAAACTGGGAACTATTTTATATGTTCCTCATACTGGAATACTTGTTTTCGTAGGTAATCAGCTCACTGTTTCAAGCTACTTGATGCTATCTAAATGATCTAGAGTAGAGAAAAACAACTTAAGTGTTCGTATTGAAAAATTATTTAAACTTTACTTTCTTCTGAAATCTACCTTCGAGATTCTGCTGAGAGCCTGAAATCATGACCTGAATGTCATCTGGTAACTGAGTTCTACCTAAAAGGACAAATGTGCGCACAGAAGACCCTAGAACTTCGACGGAGCTTAGGTACAGCACAGGTTGACTTGCTCATCCCTTTTATACGTTTCTCAATCAAGGGTAACCGAATACTACCCGCGTAGATGGTCCCAAATGCAGAGTTTCCCAGATCAAAGCAGACATGAAGACATCTTCAGGGAAAAGAGAAGTGAACCACCGGAGTAGCCTCTCCCAATTCCTGTAACGACAAGGTGAAAGCAAAACCGAATTGCCAGAGCTCCCGGACAAGTTTTCTATACTTTACCGCAAATTGGTAGTCAGAGAGCAGATGCTGAGAAATGGTACATTCAGTGCTCCTTAAAAATTTTACGGCAAGAATCAAACCTATGGCATTATGTTAACGGCACAATAGACTTTTCCTAGTGATATCGTAGCAATTCACGGTGGTAACAGTACACATATGATCGAATAGGTAAGAAAAACTTTATTAAGCGGACAAAGGAAATGCATGAGTAGAGCCCGGAGGACGATTTTATTTATCATATCTCAGAAACGACTTCATGTGAATCCAACCACTTCGAGGTATGGGGAAGAGTAAATGGGAACTGCGGCGATTGTCTCAAAAAGATTGAGGCATTCGAAAGCTATTCCACCAAAACGATGAAAAGGACAAAGCGCTTAGCATCAGTCATGCAGAGCTGTGGGCCTGGGACAAACGTATTCAAACTCCTCTTGTACTTACACATAAATGCATGTGGTGAACCAAAAAAATTGAAACGAAGGCTCTTGTGGCTATGGCGTTTAGAGGTTCGCAGATGGCACTTGTTTCATTGGGCCATCGAATGGGCTAATCCTAAATATTAAGCCAATTCCATTCCGCCTTAATCTACCTCCGATTTGGGTAGAGGATGTGGAGTAGCGCCAAGTGGCGCACCATGAAATATATGGTCCGGAGAACGAATCCTGCATCAGTACTCTTCCATAGCCAATCAGACCTTCTACAACTATATGACGGCTGTATGTATAACCCCCAAACGGTTCCAAATGCCCTACGATTTTGAATGTGAATGCGGATAAGGCTTTATCTTTGATGATTTTATGGCTTTCAGATTCAAGTTCACAGGGAAACCGTATTTATTAAAAAATAGTTGAGTTGGGAATAGAAAAGAATGTTTCAGACTCGAGCTCAGCCAAGTATTCAGTCAACTCGAACATCACTTTGAGCACTTTGAGCAGAATCCCGACAAAACTTTGTCCTCTACCTGAAATCCTTATAATGGAGGAACAAAGATGTTAAGGACAGAGCTATAAATGAAACCTTTTTCATTCAATCTACGTTTACGTTTAGTAGTTGAAGGTTACTCTTCAAAAGAATTGTGGATGTGGCAAAAAATCTGAACTAGGAGAAAAAAGTATATCAGCAGTCAGTCTGAGAGGAAGCTGTTCGGAAAGGAAATAGAAAGGGATTAGTCGAGTGGCGTGACCAGCATTGAAGACAGCTTTAGAAAAAAACGACATAGTGACGTTTCTATGATGGATACTCTTAGAATTCTGGGTATTGAGTCAGATTTGACTACGTTCGCCATATGGCGAAGTAGCCGCATCAGGTTTACTCGATTATTCAAATTTTTGCTTCCCATCAAGCGGACATCATGGGATTCACTCAGAACATCAGGCGATTTTTGAGCCACTTGTAAAGAATCGTCAAAATATCATTTTTCTAGAGATACCTACTTGAATTGGTATGTTCTAAAGCTGCAGCTCACCAAAAACCCCGGGCACAGCTGAAGAAAAAGTGATGATGGCTTGAAATAAGGTCGGCTTGTTCGGCTTTTTCCAGTCAGAGGCATACTGAAGACTTGCAAGCCGAAAAAAAACGCGAGACATAAGGCCTTCAACGTTAATTGGTCCAATTTGCGGGATGCGCCTCGCATTCCACTTCCATTTAGAAACGTGGTGGCAGTTCGAAGGCCTATACTATGAACTACAACAGCTAGCCGATGTACAAGCCGGCGTGTGTAGTCTCC